ATGGAAATGATCTTCGGTATGGAAAATCCACAAAAACATGCCTTAACTAGCAAGGTGTGTGTTTTTTAAGATCGTTTATACAAAGTAACATCCTTTTTGAAATTTTTTCTAATAGGATCATAATTTAAATGTATATTCAAATTTGCCAATTTCAATATTCAGATGACGCATAATTGCTTAGGTACCGAATTTGGACGATGTGGGGGTGTTAATCCTTCCCTACGCGTAATCGACTCCCGAACCTTTTTCAAAACGAGTTTCCGGTTAAACGCAGATCACATTTTATCTTTTAAAATTATTTTTCTTCAAATTAATTTAAAAGATATTTTTTAGGTATTCGACTTACCTAAACCAAAGGTCGATGACGACTCCAAATTTATTTATTTTTGAATTTATTTTAAAACCCAATATTTTCTAAAATTAAGTTGGATCACTCGCCGACATAGCCCTAAAAAGCTTAAGGGTTATTCCGACAACTTGGCGACTCCGCTGGGGACATTAGAGAGTCAGGCCATAATCGATTATATGTCATCTTTTTTTGTTGAAAATGGTAAATTCGAAGGATATTTAAATTTTGATCCTCATGTTTTGGTTGCATTGCATTATACATCTTTTATTTAATAGTTGTACTAATATTTGATTTGCATGTTTCAGATTTCTGACTTTTGTTTTAGTCTGTTGGTTTTTGGATCGAGGCAAAGGATTGTGAGTTTCCCCTACTCTCGCTACCCCCCACTCTCTCTATAACCGTTCAAGTATTTAGAGCCTTCTAATTGTGTTCTGTCCCATTAGGTAGGGGTGAACGCTTCGCTTACGTGAGAAAAATTATTTTTCTTCGCATGGGCTTTAACAAGTAACCTCTAGGGTGTATATGCCTCGTGTGTACGAGCGAAACATTGAGTTTCCTCGCATGGACATGGGGAAATGTATCATCTCTAATTAAACTCGACCCGTTTAAGCCTATAATGGGTGAGGATCGAGGGTCTGGTAGGCCCAATAGGGCACCAGCAAAGGACAATTCGAGGACACTGTTAGTAATACCGAAACTCTGCTCGTTTCATATTGAATTTATGTTCGCTATTATTCAAAAGTCACAAAGGGGAAATTCACTCTAACCTTCTCCTTGAATTTATTTATTTATTTTACAAAAAGCATGAGAATTAGAAGAGTATGCGGTTATGTTCTTTTTTCCCTAAACAAGCATGCAAACTAGATGACATGAGGTTAGGATTTATATGTTGAACAAAGTATGCGGGTAGAAAACATGTATGGGTAAACCTGTTATAAAAGCATGTTAGGGTAGATATCATGTTGGGTAGTATATTTTCCTTTCGTAAATATTTCTTCTGCTTTTTGGTTAAGTGGTACTAACAATTTCTTTTGTTTTATCTTTTTTTTCTGTCTTATGTTTGCATTTGAATTTTCACAACATAACCAAACAAGGTGTTAACTCACAAGTGATTGATCAAATCAGAAGGTTTTCATATCGACGTAAGAGTTCCATAACTAGATATTCAACTCCGTAAGGACGACAACTTACAAATAAAGTTGATAGACGAGATAAGAGCTCAAAGATCGATCAAAGATTCCCATTAAACAAAGATCAAGATGGTATCAAATAGCCAGAGGATAGTGGAGTCAAGAGTGAGAAGATCCTTCGCGAGATATCAAGGTTATTTTTCTCTTGGAGAATCTCATGGAAATAGAAGTCTAGAGATCCAACAATCACGGTAAGTGAAGTAAAATGAAGAAAGGTGGATCGACATTTTGAGAAGTCCAACAACTATAAAGACAACCACCAAATCATGAGAAAGGCCTAGATAGAGTAAATGAAGAAAATAAAGCTCGTATGACTAGTGTAAGGAGCATTTAAGGTCTGATGAAGGTTTTTTTATGGTGATTGCTTTTGGAATTAACACCTTGTGCATTTGCATCTATATTCTGCTTTTGTATTAGCTTATTAATTCATTTTGATTGCTTTTACAATAATTCTTGTCATTTTACACTAACATGATTTTATTTTTTGCTTGCATCACATGATCATGACATAATCAAGGTGTTGATTTGTGAATGGTCATCAAAGTAAAATGTTTTCGTGATGGACAAAGGGTTTCATGATTAAGTAGACTATAACACAGCTAGGGAATGCCCTAGAGGAGTGGTTAAAAGGGGTCACTAAACTGAAAAACAATGTTAAACAATGGAGAAAGAATTACAAGGTGCATAAACGTTGAGCCAAGAAGTTCTCTTATGATTTACGGATTACAGAAGAAATGTGCAATACAACCGTTATTGATTTAGGAAGATGTCAAGTTGAAAATCAGGTGTTGAATATATCCATAGCCAATATGGAAGCTTCATATCAGTGCCATAAGCATGAAAATGATGTTGAGCTAAAATCCACTAGAGCCGAGAACAAGTCATTGATGAAGATTATAGATAATTATGGAGATCTTGTACAAGAACTTCGTAACCACAAAGACTTTCTTACAACGAAGAATGAACAACATTGTCTACAGCTCCAAGAATTGACACAGAAGATGAAGGAAAAAGACGATGGCATGCAAGAAGTTATTGCCTAAGCAAGCAATATGGCTAATAAATTGCTTGATTTAGCTGGCTTTGCAAGAGAATTGAAGCAGACTGACAACTCAACACCTGACCATGAATGGAAATTAACTTGGCTTTTGAGGGAGATAGAGATGTTACGAGTGAAAGCTATCCCTTATACGTAAAATTTGTTTGATACACTGAAACCTTTTGTGTTCAATAAAAGTTGTTTTAAGATTATCACTTTAGAATAACACCTTTTGCATACATGTATTTGCATCGCATTTGTTTATTTAATTACTTTTACATGCATTAGTTATGAAAACGTGGAAATAATTTACGGAGGGTTATGTGACAATAATACCATGATCATTCACTACTAGAAAAAAACCCTTTAATGACTCGCATTACACGTCATCTATGGGTGCGGATGACACACAAATGCCTATCGTTGAAGCCACTGACATGAATCTTAGATGACACACAATTGTGTATCATAAATCTATGACGCGCATTGATAACACGCATTTATGACGCGCATTGAGCGTCATTGAAGCCCCCGTCATAAATGAAGATGGTACACATTTGTGTGTCATAAATTTATGACACGCATATATGACTCACATTGCGTGTCATTGAAGCACACATCATTAAAAAAGATGACACACTTTCGTGTGTCGTGATTGTATTTCGTAAATTATATATATATTGTAGATTGACAAATAATCAAACTAAATCACATTTAATGCCTCATAATACTAAATCTATATATCATATTATATATAAGCAATCCATTTGTATAAAATATATTCACATTAAGTTATCAAAAATATTGTAATCATATGTACTATCTATGCTGCACAAAGAAGAATTGAAACCAAAGCCTATGAATTCAACAATATAGTCCTAGTTCACATAGAGTGATTTCGTTGGATGTAATCAAAAAATGCACTTTGTTTCCACATACTTAGAGCTTTGAGCATCTGGATAAAAGCCACATATATGTGCAAATAGGCAGTGTTGCCAAACCTATATTGACAACAACAAAAATGAGGATGCTTAGAATATGCAAAAACAATATCAGCAAAAGGTAAGCAAAATAAAACAAAGATGTCAAAATTTTGCACAGCCATTACATAATAAGCTCCATATCGTATAAGCAATTTGAGCCTATAGCATAAACCTCTTGGCAACTCAACAGCTTAAATGCATTTAAAATTTAATTTTCATTAAAAGTATAAGAAAAACAAATTAGTGTTGTCAGAACCAGATTCAGGGCAAGGCATTAAGATATGAAAACACGGAGCAAGACAAATGGCAGTAATTCAACAAATTAGGATCCTTCTTAATTAAGAAACTTCATTATGCAGAGAAGGCAACTTGACCACTCCGCCCCCCAAAAAAATTGAAATAATTTATTGCCCTTGTTTTTAGTTGAACTTGGTTCAACTTTTGAAATATAGTTTTTGATTTTTCAAAGGGAAGTTTTCTTCCAGCCTGATATGAATTATTCAGGAGAAAATATCTCCTATTTTTCTTCTCCTAATCATCTAATGTTAAAAAGGAATCTGTTGTTTTAAAATTTGAACTGCTCTCCATAGGATGATGTATTCTCTTCTATTATACTTTGTTGGATTCAAGATAAGAAGTTTATCTTAACTAATATCAGGACAAGTTTTACATTTTTTCCTCTCATTTTATTCTAATATATGTACTTTCTTCTTCTTGTATAGGTAAAACATGCTGATGAACTTGAAAATATCCTAGCTAAAAAGTTTCTTAGGTTTTTGTCAATGAGGGCAGAAGCATTTCAAGTTTTGAGAAGAAAACCAGTACAGGCTTGATTTATCTTCTAAATTATGTTGCTTGACAACTTGATGTGATTAAACAACTAACTTGCCTTGAGGAATGATTATGTGTACACCATTTTTGCAAAATTAATCATGACAGTCACTATATTTTGCCACTTGTGGGTGAAGACTTTTAGTTCTTTCCTTTTAATACACACTAACCTCTTAAACCTGTTTAGCATAGGTGTCTCTTTACGTCCTGATTATTTTACTATTTATTCGTTTCAGCTCTAAAATTTGACTACATATGGCTCTTTAAATTTTGATTTCATTCATGAACTGAGGCTGCCTAATGTATAACTTGATTTCCCTTTTTATCTCCACCTACCAGCAAAGGGACACATCATGAGACTCATTTTATTGTTTCTAAAATTTAACATAACAAAATGGATTCTCTAAATTCACCTTACTCATTTTCTGCTAGGGTAAAAAGAACTACAACTAATATAATTAAGGTCTGAAAGTAAAATCTCGTCGTCAAAGCAAAATGGTACGCGTTCATGGAAATACCATCATTTGGTAATATCTAAAAGTGAAAAAAGATGATAGCCCATAAAGATAATAAGGTATTTCATGAAACATCAATTCAACAAGCAATCTTCATACTTGATCTCCTGCAAAGTTAATCTTGTTTCCCTTCTCCAAGAGATCATCAACCACTTGTTTCGTTTCAAAAGTGATGAACCCAAAACCACGGGAACGATTGGTGGCATGATCTCGCATGATTTCGTGTTCTCTGACTTCTTCATATTGTGTAAAGTATTCCTTGAACTCATCTGTCAATTTACACCAAATAGATTAACATTTACGAGAAATATCTATGATGAATCAAGGCATTCCGGATAAATGGCGTGAAGCTTAAATGTTATATGCATTAAAGAAATGAAGATACTCGTATCACCTTCGGATACAGTTGAAGGAATTACACCTACAAAAATTTTCCTAGTCTTGAAATCTTTACTTCCAGAAGCTTCTTTTGGTATTGTTCTCTTAATGTCTACCTAAAAGGACAAAAACTGAGCCAAAGAGCAGTAATTCAAGTCAAAAGCGAAGCAACATACACCGGACTATGGTAAGGAAACCTAACAATAAACAAAACATTGAGACTAAAGCGGAGTCTTACTTGATTCCCATTAATAACATGAGTGTCCTCAATGACTTTATCAACCACAAAAGGTTCTACATATGTCACAAACCCAAATCCACGAGGTTGTCTTGTTTTTCGGTCCTTCATTATCATAGAATCCGTAATTTCACCATATTTACCAAAATGCTCAAGAAATTGTGTTGCAGAAGATACGTAAAATAACCAAATCTGAACAGACTACAGGGAAAGCAATTTGTGCTATAATCATATTCAAGGAGATTAATAAAAATCTCCATCAAACAAGCTAAAGAATTAACCCGAACTTGTCTCTCTCGCTAAACCTCCTAAAAATTTTTGCTGCAAATTTCCATATATCGAATATATTCACAAATCATTTCCAAAGTATTCAGGATAAAAGGGGCCTTTCAAACAAACAGATACCTCTAAACATATCAATAAAATCCTACATAAGTCTAAAGAAAAAGAGAAAAGAAGAACCCTAATTCTTCATCTTTCCCTTTTATTTTAAAATGACATAAATTCCAAACTTATAACAAAAAATGAAAATAAAAAATGGGTATTACCATTTCACTTAAATTTGCGAATAATTTCAAAGTCATTAACTAAAAGGTAAAGGAAAAAGGCTTAAATTTTCTCATTACTTTTTCTATAATTCTCTCAAGAAACAGAGTAAATCTAAATGAACATATACATATGTGTATACAAATAACGATTCAATTTATGTTTTCACGTGTAATTAAGCAATGGGTAATCGATAATTTCAGGATTTTCCTCAACACCCCCAAATTTTCTCAAGAAAAAAATAGAAGAAAGGGGAATATATTTACCCAGGATTGGCGCCATCGCCAGTGTGAGGAGTAGACTTGTCGTCTTCAGGATAGTCGGAGGATCTAAAATAGTTGGTTTCGACGTCAGGAAGGGGTTCACCGCCTTGAGGGTCCATCGGCATAGTGGGAAAAGAAAGAAAGAAAGCGTAACCCAAAAATGTGTTTCCAAAGTTTTTGAAATCATTTAAAGCGGGAAAGCATGCGTACGTGATGAAAATAATGGCGAAATTAAAAGACGACTTTTACAGATGACATACAATTAAAAGTGTACTCCGTGTTTTTGAAATTTTTTTGGATTATGACTATTAAATATAACACAAATCATTGTAAGTCATAAATCATTCAGATTTTAAGAAACATGACATTTTTTTATGACACACATTTTTTACAAGTCATAAATTAGCGTGTGTCATCGTTCGTGTGTCATTAAAGGTATATTTTCTTGTAGTGATTCATTCATACTGTTTCCTCATCATCATGAACAAACAAATGGAAACACAAGATCGGTTGTAAGAGTAGTTGATCGGGTTACAACGAGATATGAGGAATCAAACATCAAATTCTCTACATGATGAATCGAATCGAATGATCCAAGTGTTGGCAACCAAGGCTGCTAATAGAAAGGAAATACCTGCTAAAGAATATCAGTGTTATCAGACGAAGGCATCGAGAAGTATAACCCACCATGAGGCATCCCAATTGAACTTAAAGAATAGCCTCATTAATCATGAGCAATCTGAGGATGGATTCAAGCAATTGAAGAAGTAATTGGAGAAATGAAAGGTGTTAATGTCTCCCATAAAGAACTAGAAGTGAGAGAACTCAGCCTGGTCCCTGATTTTTTTATCCTACATGAAAGTAGGGTGCCTAATTTTGAGAAATATGATTTCTCGTGGGGCCAACGGTGGTATTGTACGATCGTGTGAACAGAGAGTAGATCAAGGCGTGGGTCGATCTAGCTGAAGCCTTTTTGGGGCAATATCATTATGTTAAAGACTTAGCCCTAAAACTTCCAGATCTTCAAATAATAAGGAGGAAAGCTACTAAAAGCTTTAAAGGCTTTAGCCCCAACACATTTCATAATCCTCTCTCAGATCTTTTCTCTAAGTTAATACTGGCAAACGCAATAGGGGACTTTAAAGATCTTATGACAGTTGGGGAATTAATTGAAAATACAATCAGTGAAGGAAACTTAAAAGTCACTTCCAAAAGCCCAATCGATCAAAAATTGAAAGCTGATGATGTAAATGAATGTCACATCCAGAGCCTCCACAACCGCAAAAGAAAAGGAGAAGCTAGAAGTTCGGAATAACCAAAGAAAGTCTCATGATCGAGAAATACTTTGGAGGTGTTCCAAACCTCTATCTCAGGTACCCTCATTTGATTAAAGGTCAATACCTCACACCGAAGCCAACGAAAGTGCCACAAAACCCTTCTTCCTACAACTATGATCAAGATAGTGTCTGTGATTTCCACTTAGGGGAATTTGGGCATTCTACGGGGAGTTGTAGACCGCTGTTAAAGAAGATAGAGACGTTTGTTGAAAATGAAACGTTGACATAAGAACTGGTAGAACAGTAGATGACGAACTTGAATGGGGTATCAAAGAACGATATGTAACATCTGATTGAGTCAAGTGCCACTGCATTAATCAGTATTGGGGCATCCTAATTAGGAAGAGATCATTTCATCCATCATGGAGCTTTATGCCATTTGCATCATCTTGTTTGAATTTGTTTTTTGTCATTTCTCAGCTTCTTTGTAATGATATTTTAAATGAACTTATGCTACTTTAAGGATGGTGAACATTGAATCAAATTTCCAATCTTGCAGTTCTTCGAATATCAACTGAATTAAAAACTCTTTAAATGATTATAGTTATAAATCTTTGACAAAGTGACAAGATTGAAAACTAATAAAACAAGGACCCTTTAACTTACCCCAGAAGATAAACTTGAACACTATACCATTCTCTTGCAGGGACTAATATAGCATTTTTCTCTTATAAGGAAATGAACAAGAGGCTTGGTATTCAGGTATGCATATGAACGGACAAGATGGGGAATCTCTTGTGTATGACATTTTAAAACTGACTACACTATACTTCTGTTGAGGACATTCAGTGATGATCCTAATCTTCACAAAGAGAATGGTGAAGTGTATGGATTTAGTATAGGTCAGTTGTTTGGGAACTGAACTCTAAATATGGGATTGTCTTACCATCAAAGACATGTAGACTATAACAGGTTCTTCTCAATGAGTTTAAGAAATTCTGAATCTGAATACTCAAAAGGTTAATAAATAATTATTATTATAGGTTATACAATAAAGTTAAGCTATTCCACTAAAGCAATTGGTTATAGAGGAAACTCAAAAGCCCTGGCTTTATTAATAGATTGCATTCAAACCATGACATTGTTCGGGTACTCGACAGTTTGGTGTTTGCTCCACTGTGATTGTCAAGTCAAAGACTTTGTGATGAGATGAACCCTTCAGCTAGCCTGATAAAGGAGATTATAATATATATATATATATATAATAATAAATTTGAATTCAGCTAGCCAAACAATGGCAAATTAAATCAATTTTATCTAATAAAGAGTTTCAGTAAAATGGACTAAGGGAGGTGAGGAACACCTATTTTAGTCAACCTCACACAAGCACTCAGGAATTTTATATTTAGATTGATGTCCCTGCAGTACCTCTATTAAAGAAGTTTGCGAAGCTTAAACAAATGGAAGATTTCAAAGAACCGAAATAGAAGTGTGCTAGAAAGTCTAGTAATTGAATATGCTAGTTGCATCATTTTATCTGCATCCAGTTAAAATACCATGCCAAGAAAGAGGGGCATGTTATAATGTTCACAAGGACTGAGGACATCTTTGATGACTAAAACCTTGGAAAAGAGGAAGCCAACTTATCAATTTTAACACTTGTCAAAGAGCTATAACTTTGAAAATATTAAAAGAGCTATTGATTCTTTTGACATTCTATGAACTCATGATTTGCTTCAAATTGTGAGCCTGAATTAAGGAGTAATACTTTATAAAGTTCTTTTATACTTTGATTTGTAAAATAAAATAAAGGAGAAAAACATTTTCAAATAAGACAGTCTCAAATGCGAAAAGTCCTTGAAGCAGGTGAGGCCCATTCTGCCTCTATTGGAGAAAAAGAATAAGTGATGCTAGAATAATGAAGTATTCCAGAATCTTGAAAGCAAGTAGTCGAGATATTAGAAGGGATGGGTGATATAACTTGTAGCACTTCCTTGTGATGTTGTTGGTAACTTGTCAAGAAGCATATGACCGACCTATTTGAAAGGGGCACATATCTCAATGCATAGAAAAAATGCAATAGTATGACCAGTCAAGGATGAATATCGGCACCCAAATAGGGAGGAGCCATAAATACCCACCTTGGGGCATAACCAAAAATTTAGATCATGTGGAGATAACAAGGTTCAGATCAAAACGACATTGAGAGTGAGTCTCATAATTTGAAGTGTCAGGGGAAGACCATGAATTTGAGCAGGGCTTACCTTGAAAAGCAAGCCAACCGAGCATTAATAAACTATAGAGTCCTAGAAAAGTGACTCTGACAGTAATTGAGTCAATGATGGAAAAGGGCATCAAGATCATATTGCTGACCGCAGCAAGGATTCATGAAACACATTTCTTCTAGGAGTTTAATGCAGATGAGAGGTAAATAAGATGCAAAGACATAAGATGATCATATGGCTCTTCAAAGTTGCAAGCTTGAAATCATAAGTTGCAACATTGATATTTGAGTAAACCCTAGAGAAAATTGATCAATAAGAAAAAGAGATGGTTCCCCACTTTGGAGTCAAAAGAAGTTTGAATCAGTATTTATGCATGCATGAGAACATCATTGGCATAAAAGAAAATACATTACATTGCATTTGCATTTCACACATAAATGTATGATTTTTACATATCTTCCAATGAAAAGAGAGGATTCATGATATCAAAATTCCAACAAGTGGAAGCTAGAATTCAAACCTCAAATGCAGGGAATCATGTTTAGGAAGGAAGAACCTGAAGAACAGGATGGGCCCAAACCACAAAGGAAGCATTACTTTGAAGTAGGCCATATAGCCCGACCTTAAGTCATTTTATAAGTTAAAAAATGAAAAAAATTTATCATTTAAATTTGAAAACTGAAATTTTTTATAAGTAAGAAAAGTTTCTTACCTAGTAAATTATTTCCAAAATTGGTAAGTCTTTCGGGCCATCAGTAAGTCTTTCGAGCATAATGCTTAAATCCTTCAGGTCATCTATAAATCTTTCGAGTAAGATGATAAGTCCTTCAGGCCATCCATAAGACCTTCGGATATGATGTTTTCATATGTTTTTCAAAAAATGAGAAAGGTTTCTTATCTAAATCTGAAAATTGAAATTTTTAAAATGTAAGAAAAGTTTCTTACCTAGTAAACTATTTCCAAAATTGATAAGTCCTTCGGGCCATCAGTAAGTCTTTTGAGCATGATGCTTAAATCCTTCAGGTCATATCTAAGTCTTTCGAGCAAGATTATAAGTCCTTTGGGCCATCCATAAGACCTTCGGGTAGGATGTTTTCACATATTTTTTGAAAAATGAGAAAGGTTTCTCATTTAAATCTGAAAATTGAAATTTTTGAAAAATGAGAAAGGTTTCTCATTTAAATATGAAAATTAAAATTTTTTAAAAGTAAGAAAAGCTTCTTACCTAGTAAACTATTTCCAAAATTGGTAAGTCCTTCAGGCCATCAGTAAGTCTTTCGAACAGATGAGTAAATCCTTCAGGTTATCTAAGCCTTTCGAACAAAATGATAAGTCCTTCGGGCAGGATGTTTTCACATGTTTTTTTGAAAAATGAGAAAAGTTCCTCATTTAAATCTAAAAATTGAAATTTTCCAAAACAAAAATGAGAAAACAACTTCCAAAGTTTCTCATTTAAATCTTTTTTGAAAAATGAAATTTTTAAAAAGTAACAAATTCAGAGTCTCAAAAGTGAGGGATTTGACTAACACTCAAGTCGAGACAGACTCCCATATTTGGAGGTTGTGAGACAAGTTTCCATAACAAAATCAATTTCATATTATCCTCCCCAGACTTTTA